AAGGTGCTGAAGATTTCAACTGGTCCTTTTTTTTCCTCCAATCCTGAACTTGACTTGGTTCTATACCAAAATGTTTTACTATTACACAAACACTATTTGAATATTGCAAATATTGTAAGACCATTAACTTCTCACGTACACACCATTGTCTTCTTTTTTTTAAAGTAATTCTAGAACGTTTTGACTTTTAGTTTCCTATAATGACCATTTTGAAAAAAAAAAATCGTGAAACACAATACAAGTGAAACACATTACGAAACGCACAGAATTTTATGGGCATTACGATCATTACAATTTATATATATTTTCCGATTAAAAAACCCTCATACCAAAGTATCCCTGATTAAACTACCTGGATAGTTTACAAATCTAGGGTAAATTTGTAAAAAAACCCAGGGTAGATTAGTCAGTGCTTTACAATATATATGTTATTATCTCATTTATTACTATTTCAGCTGGAATTACTTGTATTCTTTTCACTAAATTTCATATTGATTCTGATTATTTAAAAACTGTGGTAAAATTCATAACTGGTGGTGGGGCTTTTTTAACTCTTCTCTCGAGTATAAAACTTCTATTCAATAGGACTTTAACAAATAAAAAATACCAGCTTTACTTTTCTTCCAGATATTAATAAGGAAAGGGTTAATTTGTCTTTGCTTTTTATGGAATCGAAACAAAAATTGGAATTTGTGATAAAAATTATTAAGATTTGAAATAGAAATTTACGGTTTATGAGATTTTGTAATATTTACTGGACTATTTTTCTTTGTGTGTTAATCATACTTGGAATTACTGGCTTGTTTAATAAATTTAATAGTTCTGCTTCATTGATTGGATTGGGTATCAAACTTATTGGAATAGGAGTATGCGGTATAATGTATTATATTATTATAAATATATTTCTTTCGAAATCAAGACCAAAGTTGTTGAAGATATTTTCTAAAATTTTTTTGGTATTCCTTCTTTTCTCGGGTATTATTAAACATAAAGTAAGAAAAGGGAAAGGGGAAAGACAAAAGAAGAGAAAGAAATTTTAACATATATGCCTATATATACTAGATTTTGAAAATATTTTTATCATGTACTGTACATGTCATTTTTACGAAAAAGGAGAAGGAAATTATAGAATGTCTTATATGTGGTTTAGAATATAACGCTTGTAAAATTATTGAAGAAGCAGTTTAGATTTAGGTTTTCTGAAACAAATGTTAAAATAATAGTTTGGAAGGCATTCTTATTAAATAAAATATTTATTTTTGTATTAAAAAAAATTTCACGTGAAAAAAATGATCACTATGTTGAGAGAATCAAGGACAATGATTTTATGCTGCAATAAATCATCAATTATGCATGCGATAAAAATAAAATATGCATTTAAACGTGCATGTATTTTTTGCAATTATGCACATATTTTGTGTTAAAAATTTACAATTATGCAAATTATGCTGCAATATTAGGTTATTTATGCGATAAAAAATTAAATTTTATTTAAAATTAAGAACTATTAAAATAAAGCATATTTAATTTTTTCAATGAATCAGGTGTTAAATTTTGACAATCATTATCTAAAAGAGAATTATACATAGAAAAACTTCGCTCTACAGAACTTGAAATTGGAAACTATATATAATTCAAATCAATTTGAGAAAGTAATGGTAATTGTTGTGATAAACCTAACCAATATTCATTTAAATCAGTTTCTTCTGAAGATATACAGTATGACATTCAAGATTACAATAAATACCCTATTCAATAATTAATTCATTACTTGGATTTTGCAATTCAATAATTGCAATAAAATGACGAATATCTTTTCGTAATGTGTTTGAAATTAAGAATAAAATGGATTAAAAATTTGACATGCTTTAAAAAGAGCTTTTCCAAGATGTTGAGGAATGTGTTTAGATAATTTTTTAAAAGCAATTTCAAAAGCATTTTGAAAAATTGGGTAAAAATCATTTGGATTATAACCAAATAATATAATTTGATTTTCCAATTCACCACCAAAAAAATTAGCAGTATGATTATTTTGAATATAAGCTGTTAAATTGATGAGTCTACTTTCAATATAAGGAAAAATAGGCTTGTTTTGTATTTGAAAAAAGTCAAGATCTTGAACAAATTGTCTTGTAAAAACTGTAATAAAAGATGTGTAAATTCTAATAAATTTATATTTTGTTTGAGAATTAAGAAGAGAAGTAATTGAATTAAAGGCTTTCATATTGTGAACCTAAGGATAATTCATTATTAAAAAAATCTTTCCAATACTTAATATGCTCATTGGTATAAAATATTATTTCAAACCAAGTATTTCAATGACTTTTAACTGAAAGAGGAAGTTTTTGAGGTGATGCAATTCCATTTAATCGCAAATGATCCAAATATTGATTTTTCTTGGAGAAGACTGTACAAAACAATCTTTAACTTTTTGAAGTAAGGTTTTAATTTATTTAAAATGAGAAAATGTTTTTCATTTATCACTAAAAATAAATAATAATATTAATTAGAAAAAATGTAATATAATAAATATAAATAATAAATTATATTAAAATTTACTTACCCAATTAAATTTTAATATGTGCACAATATGAAATGTGAATAAGTTGTAGCATTAAAGGTTTTAAAACTTCTCTGAAAGATTTTTTCATATATGCAACAGAATCTGTAGAACAAGACAACATTGGCATTATACATATCGTCAATGTCATAGAAATAGGCAAAATCAAGGTCAAAATCATAGAAGAGGTAGAGCTCAAACAATTCATACAACTGAATTAAATTTGGATAATATAAGTAATGTAGAATATTTACAACCAGTAAATGTTAATAGCTTACAACAAAGTTTGTACAGCTATTTTTTTATTCTTAGATGAACTTTGGTCAGTTTCATCTGACATTATACTCATTGCATCATTTTTGGATCCTCGATTTAAAAACTTTGAATGGTGTAATAGTCAAGGTAAAAATGAAGCTGAAATATTAGTTTGAGACTTACAGTGGCTTCCAAAAGAAACGCAAGTGGCATTGCTTGCCTTTAAATGCCTGTAACTCACTGTGCACGAATGCTAG